TACATTCTTGAGTGACTAAAATGACTGCACTGGTGAGAAAGTCAAAAGACTTTCCAAACAAGGAGGACTAGAAGAAACTCCCAATTAATAAATTTATAAAATTTGTCTAATTTATGAAAAGTAAGATGGGGCCACTAAAGGAGGGACTCGATTCTTTCATTGGAACACTTGGCTTTCCAAGAAAGATCAGAAAGAAGAAAAACCCAAAGCAATCACAATTGAAATTGCAAACAGAAATGTTATCTTCCAGAGAAGAGAAGTGCTAAACCTCACACTGAGGAACCCCATCCAAGAACCAACTTCAGTTTTTTGCATGCTGTCACTGCCGGAAATGGAAATAAATTTCCCCAGGTTGATCTAGACTTTGAAATGCATTTGGTAGGGCAGGACACGAAACAGTGCTCAGCCAGGAGGAAGTCTTGGTTGTGAGAACCATTTGGCCAACTGTCTATCAGCTGTGGGGTACAGAGCCAGTAAAGCAGTAGCTGTCAAGCCCAGGGGAATCACTCTAGAATCACCCAGTGCTTTAAAACCAGGCTTGCCCCAGACATGCGGTCAAGGGTCCCCTACCATTGTTTTTCTAAAGCTCTAGTCACTAGAGCTGCTTATGTGAAAGTATATGTTACCTCTAACTCCAGCCTCAAGAGCCCCTGGAAGCACAAGGAAGGCACAGAGGGAGAGGGGCTCTGTGGTCCCCACATTTGTGGGAACTCGGTAAGAATAGAGTCCTGGTCTTTCTGATGTCTCATGGCTACATCCTAGACTGAGAACAGAACCTGGACCTTCTGAGCCACAGTTGAGGCCGACCTGCCAGAGGCCTTTATTCTAGGGCTTATTCATTCTTTTGAATTCTTGGTGGTTTTCCCTCCTTTGATGTCTATTTTTAAGAGAAAAGAGGTGAAGTACCAGGCTGGAATCAAGTGTGCTCTGCTGGGGACTGCAGACCCCTACTTCCCCACCCATTAACCCTACGGACCCTTGTGAAAGTCGTGTCTTAGGAGCATGGTTCTCAGCTGGGGTACGTAGCAGAATTAGCTGTGGGCTTCTTAAGACTACAGGTGTCTGTGCCCACCTCAAGCCACCTGACTCCAAATATGCAGGCGTGGGATTCAGGCCCGTGTGGTTTTAATAAGCTCTAGTTATGTAGCATCACTTGAGGGCGGTGGTTTTAAAGCATCTGACCCAGCTGCAGCAGCATCACCTGGGAGCTTATTAGAAATGCAAACTCAGCCTCTTCCCCAGATCTCCTGAATCAGACGCTTTGAGGGTGAGGCAGCAGTCTGTGGGTTAGCAAGCCCTCCAGGTGATTCTAGGCACACTCCAGTTTGAGAAACTCTGCTTAGGTCATCTCTTTGGGTCTGTGCACAAAAAGGTGCTTTTTGGTTTTTTTTTTCCTTAAGCAGCAGTTAGGAAAAAATGTCTAAATGAATGTTATTTGATAATTTCCTAGCTTATAGCTCTGACCTAACTGCTCCTCTGCTGATACGTTAATTCAGCAAATGAATTCACAGGTCACTCTTTGTCTCTTAACTTCCCCTGGAGCATTTGCCCTTTGCTCGACTAGTCAGCCACCTCTGGGAAGCCTGCAGGGCCCATCTTCAATTTTATTCCTTCCTGAAAGCTTTTATTTTGTCTTTTCCCTGTAGAAAATAAGTGCCTGACACATTTATTTTTGTCCTTCTTAATGGCTTATGTATTCTCTTTACCTCCCATCCCCTGCAACCTTGGGCAAGTAACTTAACCTGTTTCCTCATCTGTAAAATGGAAATAGTACTAGCACCAACTGCTTTAATTAAATGTAAAGTAATTATTATTCCTAACATTAAATAATGGACATATAACATTCTGTAGTGCCGGGCACATAAATATAGCTTTCCTCGCTAAGAATTTTAGGGCACTAAGCATTTGGCACTTTTGGTAGTTGTCTTTATCCTCTTGTTAGCTGTAAAGCTTTTTGATAGCAAGTAATTTTTCTTTCTCTACTCTGAATCTCTCTCCAAGAGTACCTAATATATGCTCAGTAAATGCTTATGGAATTGTACTGAATTCCAAAGGCAAGGTAGGCTAAGAATTTCCATAGGAGCCCTTCCTAAGCCTGACTCCATCTTCTTTTTCTTTGGGGGGAGTGCCTTCATTCCCTGAGTTCATGATAATATCATCCTTCCTCGAGGCCCTAGAGGAGGCAAATGTGTCTGGGTACCTGGCTCTTGAGTCCAGTGAACAATGCCCTCTGCCTGAAATCTCTTTCAGATAACAGGTTCCTCTGAAAATTATCCAGAATGGCCTAGACAGTCTTCCTGTTTTTAATTACATTCTAAAGAGCAGATCTCTGAGCCATGTTTCTGACTCCTTGCCAAACAAATGAAATTCCTTTTTAAGGCAGTGTTGTCCTGAGGCAGCGGTGGGTGGGAAGGGGAGGGAAGTGGTACTTGAAGACCATGTGGTGCGTGGGTCTCTTTACTAAATTGTAGTCAGATGGGTTTTTAGGCATCGAAAATAAAGGCATCAACTTGGTGACACAAGTTGAGGATCCCAACTGCCTGGGGCTTCCCTGCTGCTTTGTAAAGATGAGTGTCCTCATATTTGAACTGACTCTGAATTAAGAGCAGAGGTATGGGGATCCCTGGGTGGCGCAACGGTTTGGCGCCTGCCTTTGGCCCAGGGCGCGATCCTGGAGACCCGGGATCGAATCCCATGTCAGGCTCCTGGTGCATGGAGCCTGCTTCTTCCTCTGCCTGTCTCTGCCTCTCTCTCTCTCTGTATGACTATCGTAAATAAATAAAAATTAAAAAAAAAAAAGAGCAGAGGTATGTCTGTAACCACGGTTGGCAGATGGTGGATAGTGTCTTCCATGGGACCCAGTCGTATTAGAGCTTGAGCCCCCACTTAGCCTTTTGAGGCAAACTTCTTTTTGTAACAATTTGATGTGTAATGTGAATAGTCCATATTTTTAAATCCTGGATTATTGCAAGTTTATAAGATATTGCAATTTCAAGTAAGTGTTTTTATTACCATAATCTTTCACATTTCTATTACGTATATGATAGTTTTTTCTAGAAGTCAGTAGTGTTCACCAAGTTATGAGATACTTAAATTTCAGCAAGACCTTTGATGAAGTCTATCCTGATGTTCTTGCAGATGAAATTCTAGGCACAGAATGATCAAGGTAGGAGGATTTGTAACTGATAATGAGTCGGTAAGAGTTTGGAGTGGGCAGGTCAGGGGAACGGTGGGGGTGGGCAGGGAGCTGCCTCTGACGCTCACTGATGTCCTCTGTCCTCCACGCTGGCCCAGTTCACAGTTTCAGCAATTATTTGATTGCAGGCATTTATGGCATGCTTGTCACACTGAGGTTTACACAACTTCTGTTGGACGATGGATGTGTTCTGTGGAGCATCTGGGTTTGGAGACATACCCAAGACCCCTCCCCCAGTCAGTTGCCAGTGTCACCTGCACTACTTTCTCAAATCCATCTTCTCCCTATCCCTTCCTTACTTCAGAGCCTCATCATTTCTCCCCTAGACTACGGCCTGACTTTGTTGCTCAGTGGCATTCCCTAGCCTCCAGAAGAATGCCCAGGCTCCTTCACATGGCCTAGGAGGTTCTGAATGTCCTGGCCACCATACTTCTCTGGACTCGTCTCCTACTATTCCCCACCTCGAACTCCATGCTGTAATGATATCAGACTGCCTGTAGTTCCCCACACCGTCCATTCTGGTTCATTCCTATGGCCCTTTCCTCTGCCTTTGGTGGCTCCAACACATTCTCCCTTCCCTTCCCCTTGAAGACTCAGATTATCATTTACATCACAGTATTGGAATTACCTGGTCATTCCTTTCTCACTCTCAAACTAGACTATAAACTCCTCAAGGGCAGTGTTCTTATTTTACTTAGTGCCCTTCACGCAGTAAGTAGGCAATAAGTGTTTTTTGATCAGAAGTAAAAATACAAAAAGATCTTGGCAACCTAAAAGGGAGACCATAAAACTTAAGAGATAAACTATACCAGTGGTTCTACTTGGGCTTAAAACAAACAAACAAACAAACAAAAAAAAAAAAAACAAGTCCCAATCTAAGCACTGAGTACAAGATGGGAGAAAGATGACTCACCACCTTCAGTAGACCATGTAAAAAAAGAAAGGCTGTGGTTTTAGTTGACTTTAAGGTCCGTGAGTCAACAGTGTGATGCAACTACTGTAACCTAGTGTCAGAACAGGGAAAGTCATCGTCCTGTGGTCATACCACATGGGAGAGTCATGTCCATTCTATGGCGTCGGACCTTGAGAGAGGTAGAGCACATCCAAAGGACGGCAGCTAGAAGAGTGAGAGAAGACAAACCCCGCCATATGGGGAGTAGTTGAAGGAAGTAGTGGTGTCTTCTCTGGGGAAGACAGGAGCTCTGATGCCTGAAGGGCTCACAGAGAACCCTAAAATGCCAAATTAGGCCAGTGAGTAGAAAGTCTCAAAACAACTCAGTGACACTTGGATCTACTAACAGTGGAATAGTCTGTCTTATGAGCTCTGAGTCACTGTAGGAGTGGATCAGGAGCCTCCAAGGAAAGGTGCTACAGAGGAATCTGAGCCCCTAAAGGAAGTTTGGACTAGATGTGCTTTTATCCTGCTCAACTCTGAGGCTTAGTGATTCAGGAGGTCCCTGAGTCCATAATACTGAATGTTGGGAAGGGGTGCCAGGAGCACATTCTCTGATCCAGGAGCCTTTTGTCCCTCTGGGGGAGACATTATGAATTACCTAAACAGAAATTGCTTCTGGGAAAAGGTAATAAGTGACTAGCCCACTTAGGTTCAGACTTGTGGCTCATGTCTTCAGACTTCTGAACATAGGTGGGCTAGTCACTTATTACATCATTCCTGTGAAATCTATCCAAGAATGGCTCCTGGTAGTGCACCCCGTGTACTCAGAGCCTTGCATTCTCCTTTGTCCTTTTGGAACTTTGAATAAAGTGATTACCTCTTTTCCTTTACTTTTTTTGTCTTTTTTAGCTGTGGAGTGTCTTGGCTTCTGGGAGGATGTCAGAAGGATCATCTCAGGATCAGAGCTGATAACGGGATTCACCTATACCTTCACGGTGCCAGGCCTGCCCCAGTACCTCCAGAGTCTCACCAAACTAGCCATCACCACAGCGGCAGTGGCAGCTCAGGCTGGAGAGCAGGCAGGGAACATTCCCATATCCTTCTCTCAGCTGCTGGAGTCTTCCTTCCCTGAAGTGCGCCTGCTGACATTAGAAGCCCTGCTGGAAAGATTCTCAACAGCAGCCTTGGGATTAGGAGAGAAGGGGCTGCCACCTTTGCAGCGGAATATGGGAGAGACATTCTTGATGTTGGCTGTGAAGGAAAATCACCCAGAATGCTTCTGCAAGGTAAAGTCTCTGGCGTACTGACCGTCCCCTTCACCATAACAAGATCACCTAGACGGATTGGGTTGGGCTTCTCCAGGAGCAATAGGAAGAAGGTACAGCATCCAGTGGGCAAGAATGCTCTTCATATAGTGTTTGTCATGGCCTCATGCATGGAAGGGCACTAAAAAATGATAACGATGGTAATGATGATGGCAGTAAGCCAAGACAGAGATTGACAGGAAGCTACTCAGTGCTGTAAGAAATGCAGCATTAAAAATTGGCTACAGACTGTGGCAGAGGGTAGTCTTTGTCAGTGTGGCTATTTGGGGACAGATGGCCACCTAGAAAGGAAAGGAAAGGGCACTGACCTAGGAATCAGGGCATCTAGACTCTGATCTCAGGTCACCTAGGTCCCTTGGGTGTGTCACTGCTCTACCCTGTCTTGGTCTCCCAAAAATAGTAAGGGAGAAATAAGAAGTCTGTGAAGCTTTTTGAAAGATAGACCCCCTTATTGGTATAAGTGATGATTATTTGGCTTTGGAGACTTTTTCCTAAATAATTTTTTTTTTTTTTAACACGCAGATATTGAAAATTCTCCATTGCATGGACCCCAGTGAGTGGCTTTCCCACATGCAGCGCTGTATCCACCTCACCCCAAAGGAGTTCCTGATCTGGACAATGGATATTGCTTCCAATGAAAGGTTTGCCCCTGTATTCCATGTGCAACCTCAGTGTGACACGTGCTCCATCCCAGCAGTCATTTACATAATGAACTTGAGCACAGTCCTCCCCTAAGGGCTTGGGTTCTGGGTTTCCTTCTGAATCTCATGAGCATGTTCTAAGCTCAAGCCGTACAATGATGTCAGAGTTTCACATTAATAACCAAATGGTAATTACCTCTGGAGGCATTTGTATGGCCATGAGGTGAGCATTTTCCACCTTTCACGATGGAATGGATTACAGACTATCTGCAAAAACCCATCCATATATAAAGTATATTTGGGTTTATTTTTTGTGTGTTTTGGCTTACTTTGTCTAGGTCTGAAGTTCAAAGTGTAGCTCTGAGACTTGCCTCCAGAGTGATTGCCCACTACCTACAGATGTGTGAGGAGGTAAGGATGATTTGGCCTCTGGCCTAGGGTCTGGGTTTTTGCGCTCTTCTTTACTGGGAAGGTGTCGACAAAGGTGAACTGTCTCAGCAAGCAGAATCACTGAGTCATGTATGCGCAGCCTCTACAAAAATGTTATTCTTTTTGGTTTTTCACTTTGGGTATAACTTATGTAAAATTTTCTGAGTCAGCATTTCTTTTTTCTTGTCCTGGGCATACTTGATTTGAATCCGTGAGGGTAACACAACCTCCTCTCCTACAACACATCCACACCCACACTCACACATTCACACACATGCCCAAACCCTTTTTTTTTTTCTATTTAAAGATTTTAGTTATTTATTAGAGAGAGAGTGAGTAAGAGAGCACAAGTTGGGAGAGGGGCAGAGGGAGAAACAGTCTCCCTCACTGAGGAGGGAGCCCAACGCAGGGCCCAATCCCAGGACTGCAGGTTCATGATCTGAGCAGAAGGCAACTGCTTAACGGACTGAGCCACCCAGGTACCCTTTTTTTAAAGAACAAGTGAGCAAGTCACTAGGATTGCATCCTGGCCAACTAAGTATGAAAATACATTCCTAAGGGTTAACTATTTCCCCAGAACATGGCCTAGCTGACTTTGGATGGAGGCCCAGATGTGTTTTATCTCTCTCACATGTCCTTTAGGGGAGAGGTGGAACAAGAGTAACCAAAACAGCTTCCTAGGAAGATGCCCTAAGACAACTACATGTATACTTAGGGGCATATGAGAAAGCTGCCGTGAGAGAATTATTAAAAGTAGAAGGCAGTTGATACTACAGTAAAATTACCTGAAGCTCCTGGTTACATGTGACCATACTATCATAGTGGCAGCATAACATCGCAGATTCCAGTTCCTTATGGTAAAGTGGCATAGCCAGAGGTGCAGGAGATCAGATGGACAGGGATGGAGGGACAGTGTCATGAGTGAGAAGGAGCTTTAGATCATGACTAGGAAAGAGGCCCAAGAAATCCAGAGGAGGAAGGGAATGTAGGCATGCTAAGGAGAAGACTTCACAGAGGAGGTCGTTGAGTTCAGAGAGCAGGGACTGGGCAGAGGGGACAAAGGGTGAGAACTAAACAGATCCATGGTTTCCTTGGGTCATTCAGAGACATGCCAAGAGGCCAAAGCTTGCTGGTCACTAGGAGAAATAAAGAGCAAAAAAAAAAAGTCAGTGGTATGTATTGGGGGTTTAAAGGGGAGAGGTTTGTAGGAAGGGAGAGGATTTGCTGGAAAAAACTACAGCCCAGAGGGAAAAAAGTTCTAAGCAAATAGTCACAGGGCAGCCTATCCCATCTGCCAAAAGACATCGTTCTCATCTACAGGCGTCTACGTTTTCATCTACTACTAACCAGTAGTCATGTGCTTCTTAAAGGCAGTACTTGATACTCGAATGAAACATTTGATAAAATTGGGAGATTTCCAGGGAGAGAAAAATTAACAAAACCATAGAAAAACACATGAAGGAAGTTCCCAGAGAGACCTGAGTTTTTTTGTACATTAGGAGTCAGCCTCTTCCTCAAGGTCTAAGATGCTCATCAGTTTAGTTCCACAGAGGCCCATTAACAGTTATTTTGAACAGTTAAAGAGACTTCTTTTTTTTTTTTTAAGATTTTATTTATTTATTCATGAAAGACACAGAGAGAGACAGAGACAGAGACAGAGATACAGGCAGAGGGAGAAGCAGGCTCCATGACGGGAGCCTCATGCGGGACTCGATCTCAGGACTCCAGGATCACGCCCTGAGCCGAAGGCAGGTACCAAACCACTGAACCACCCAGGGATCCCAAGAGGCTTCTTTAATCGGGGAAGTAAAGTATATTTTGAACAATAATCCCATTTCTAGAATACATAGAAAACCAGGGTTTAAAAGATGGAGACAATCCAAATGTCCATCAACTGATGAATGGGTGAACAAAATGTGGTATGTCCATTCAATAAAATATTATTCAGTCACAAAAAAGTAATGAAGTGCTGATATATCTATAACGTCGATGAACTTTAAAAACATTCTAAAGAAAAGAAGACAGTCACAAAAGACCGCATATTGTATGGTTCACTTTATATGGAATGTCCAGAATAGGCAAACCCATAGAAATAGAAAGTAGATTAATGGTTTAAGGCTGTGAGTGGGGAATTTACAAGATGGGGCAGAGAGGGTTTTGGTAACTAAAGGGTACAGGATTTCTCTTTTTGGTGATGAAAATGTTCTAAAATTGACTAGTAGTGAGTGTACAAACCTATGAGTATACTAAAAACTCAACTATATACTTTAAATAGGAGAATTGTATCATGTGAATTGTATCTCAATTTTTAAAAAGCTGTTACTTTAAAAAAAATAGAGCTTTGTTTAAACAATAATGTTAGGATACTGCTTTAAATGTTACAGCAGAAACACTTAAATACAGTGGCTTAAACTAGATCACAGCAGTCAAAGCAGATAGAGTGGCTTGACAATATTGGGCCCCCAGGCTCTTGTACCTTCTTGTCCTGCCATTCTCAACATGGCTTCCATCTTATGGCCCCAGATGGTGGCTCCAGCTTCCACCATCTTGTCCTTGTTCAGGTAGCAGGAGAAGAGAAACCCAAGAAGGAAAGGTCACATGTGTTTCCTAAGGCTTGACCTAAAAATAATACACCATTAATCAGAACCTACTCACATATTACTCTCAAGTGCAAGGGCGTTTGGGAAATGTAGTCTTTAGCTGGGTGCCTACGCACCCAGCCAAAAATCTAAGGTTCTATTCCTTAAGATAGAAGGAACCTGGGGTAGGGGACGAGGGGTGGAGGTGGGGGGGATATGCCTGGGTGGCTCAGTCAGTTAGGTATCTGCCTTTGGCTTGGGTCATGATCTCAGGGTCCTGGGATCAAGCCCTGTATGGGACTCCCTGCTCAGCAGAAAGCCTGCTTCTCCCTCTCCTCTCTGCTCATGCTCTCTCTCACTATCTCTGTCACTCTCTCTCTCTCCAATAAAATGAATAAATCTTTAAAAAAAGAAAAAGAAGGAGCATCAGGTTATTGAAGACAATGGTATTATTTGCTGCCGTGGTCTTTTCCCAAAAGGCTTGTCTTTACTGAAGCTATCAAATACACCAATGTTCTGGTACCCTTTTTTTGCGTCAGAAAGACTCCAGGAACTTGCTTACTAGTTTTAGTGACTCAGTATTACTGAAAGACAAGTCACATTTTCTTCCCTGGGCTTGTTTATTTCTCCCTAGTTGGGTTGGAAAAGCAACTACAAAAACCTTTCTTCCCTGCAGTAAGAGCTAATTTGCAGACCCCATGTGGTATAGGTGGCTCGTACCTAGTTCCATGTCAGCCCTTAATTGCGTCTGCTCAACTGTCATACACTCTGTGCTTTCAGACCAGGGACTCAGTGGCCCCCACACTGAAGCAGTGGGTTCAGTTGGTTGTCTCATCCTGTGGAGAACACCTTCCCACAGAGTCCAGGCTGGCTGCTGCCGAAGCCCTCAACAGCACCACACCATTCTTGCTTACCACCCTCCATCCCGTTCTTGGTAAGTGCTCTGGGCTAGGGGAAGCCCGTTGCACCAAATGAGTTAAAAGTGTGAATAGATACTCCAGAGTAGAAAAGAAGGGAAGATGAAACTGACCCATGTGCACCATACTTTTGCATCTTTCACATGTGTTCCGCCCACCCTCCTAACTCATTTTTCACCAAGAGCCTCTTAACCAGCCTCTTTCTTTCAGCCTTGCCCCCAAAGCCATTCTCCTTATGCTTCCAAAAGCTTGTGTGGTCTTTCCGAAATACAGAACTGATCATTTCACTCCACTTCTTAAAGCCGTTGAGTGGGTTCCCATTGCCTTCAAGATAAAATCTAAATACCCTCCCAAATCTAAATCTAGATTTTAGATTTAAAATCTAAATACCCTGCTCAGCCCTCCCTGCTCATCGGCCACATTCCCCAACACAGGCTCCATACATCATTGGCAGGGAACAGTCCTTGAGACAAACTGCTGCTTGAATAACTTCTGTTTGTCTTTCAAGACTCAGCCTAACTGTCATCTCTTCCAGGAAGCCTGATGCAGTGATCTTGGTGAGAAAGGAATGGTCAGGGTGAAGCCAGGGCATTGAGGAGGAAGAAAGGACAGGCTCAAGGAGTGTTTAGGAAGTAACTCAACAGGACTCCATAGAGGTTAATGTGAATGGAAAATTCAAAGAATAAGAACGAGCCACAGTCCCAGCATCCATGGAGCTGTCAGTGTAGTTGTGGAGAAAGGATATAATTGTTTTTTTAGATGGTGAGATTCAGATTTTAAGCCAGCACAGTTCAGACCAGTGAAATGTCTCATCCCTGGATCTCCCTGGGAAACAAAGTTGTCTTTGATAATCCTTTTAATTCTTTCTTCTAAGTGACTTCCAGGCATTTTTCTTAGACCCAAAGGAGGACTAGAAGGGGCCTTCATTGATGGTGATTTTTTTTTTTAAGATTTTATGTATTTATTCATGAGAATACACAGAAAGGAGAGAGAGAGAGTCAGAGACATAGGCAGAGGGAGAAGCAGGCTCCACGCAGGGAGCCCGACATGGGACTCGATCCCAGGTCTCCAGGATCAGGCCCTGGGCTGAAGGCAGCGCTAAACCGCTGAGCCACCTGGGCTGCCCCATTGACGGTGATTTAATCATCAGACCCAGAGGAATAAGAAAAAAAAACTTCACCAAAAGTTTTGATGAAGCTTCTCCAATTAGTATATCATTTACAGCATTTTCTGGGTGACTCTGGATACTGTAATGCTAGCTCATATCAGGCAAAATGTATGTAGAATAACCTAGAATGCTGAGTGAAATGTACTAGTTAAAAGCCATGGTTCATAATTAATTTCTGGAACCGGTTATAGCATTATAGGTAATGAGGAAGAAGGCCAGTGGTGGTGATGGCTATAAGAGTGTGACAAATAGGTACAGAACTGAGAGACAACAGACATGAAAGTGCATGGGGACAAGTTAAGGACAGAGCAGTCATTTAAGGAAAAAGAAAAATTGAAATGGACTAAAGAAAGAAGACTGAAGATCTCAGTGGGGATAAATGACCAAGCTTTAAAGAAGCAAATATTAAGAAAGGAAAATATTAAACCCTAAAGAACAATTAGAATGGATAGATTCTGAAAGACTGCATAAAATTTAAAGCCAGATTTAAAACAGAAAAGAGAGAACAAAACCCCAGAGAGAACGTTGCTGTTCTTGGTATGACTAACGCCCTGTAAACTCTGCTACCAGGTTCTCTGCAGGCAGATGAGAGAGAGAGTAGTTGGGTAGTCTAAGGAGACTTCGTAGGACAGGGTAGGTACCCCATCGAAAGGTTAGGGATGATGGAGTGATGGTTTCCTGTGGCTTACCCACTGTGACTCTGCCCAAGCCTGGGCCCACCCCCTGGACAGCACATACCCTTTCCATGAGGCACAGCCACACGTTTCCATCCCTGACCTCTCCTTGTCTTGTGTCCTATTGCTCAGGAACAAATACTGTCTTTTCCTCTCCCATTGACCATAGCAGCACCTGGCACAGGGACCACACAGAGTTCCTGCCCAAGGAACTCTGGTGGTCAGATAGCAGGCCCCACACAGACTCGTCCCAGGCTATCATGGATGATTCCCTGCCCTCTTCAGTTCTTACCACCACCACCTCAAAGTATGATCTTTTTTTTTTTTTAAGATTTTATTTATTTATTCATGAGAGACATAGAGAGAGAGGCAGAAACATAAGAAGAGGGAGAAGCAGGCTCCCCACAGGGAGCCGGATGTGGGACTCGATCCTGGGACTCCAGGATCACCCTCCCCCTGAGCTGAAGGCAGATGCTCAACCACTGAGCCACTCAGGGTCCCCCCAAAGTATAATCTTGATTGAAACTTTGCTTTCAGAATTTATAAGCTCCAGCAGTCACTCAAATTAACACTGGGCTAGTTTCCCCAAAGCATTCTTGATGCATAAAATTTCATTCCTGAGAATCATGAGTCATTGTGGACAGCTGGGGCCAGGGCCTTAGTCAGCCGTGCCGCACCTTCTGGGGGGCCTTGCCTTGGGCTGCTTGCCTCCAGAAGCCTTCCTCCTCAAAAAGACAGACATTTCCAAACTGCCCCCTTAGGGCCCTCTCTCTCCCGTGTTTATCCGACTGCCAAGTCTTCCTTTCTTGAAATACCCAGGAAGAAAAGAATGACTGTTACCCATTAAATACTGCTGTCTTCCACCATGGATTTAAAGCACTATTTGTACCTGCTTATAAATTGAACCATAGGTCATTTGAATCCCTTTTGGTCTTCTTAGGATTGCAGGATACACTTGCTCTCTGGAGATGTGTCCTCACCCTCCTGCAGAGTGAGGAGCAAGCTGTCAGAGATGCAGCCACGGGAACGGTAGTGACCGCAATGTCACAAGAAAACACCTGCCGATCAACAGGTACCTCATTCTTACCCTTTTGCAGCAGCTTATTGCTCCCGGACAGAAGTTGGTACACTTTTTCCGTAAGTAGCCAGAGAGTGGATATTTTAGCCTTTGGTGGCCATTTGGTTTCTGTCTCAACTCTGCTGTTTTGATGGGAAAGCAGCCCTAAACAACAGATAAATGTGTGGGCATGACTGTGTTCCAGTAAAACTTTACTTACAGAAATAGGCTGCTGCCCAGATTTGCTGACCCCTGCTCTAAGACATCATAGAGAAAAATTGTCTTCAAAGACAGAAATCTAATAGGCAGTGCTTTTTACTAACTACATTTTTTTTTTTTTTGCCATCCTTTTTAAATAAGGCTAAGTCCTGATTATCTGTGTGGCTACATAACCTGGGAATCAAAGCTCTATCATTTTGTACTTCTATTAATTTTTGCCTGTGATAAAAACAGATGCGTGTGAGTCAAGTTAACTTGGAATAGAAGCAAGGTCACACCTCTGGACAAGTGGCCAGCTGGGAGGGTGACTGCCCTGGTGGACTTGGATTCCCTTCACTAGGGTTGTCACAAAAGATCTCTGGGTCAGCCATTCCAAGGAGAAGCAAGAACACCATTTGGAGGCAAGAGATCACAGGCCTCTGTAAACAAAGAAGTTTACCTTGATAGCAGAATGGGAAAGGGAATAGCCATATAGGGTTTGTAACGAACTCTGGGCTCCTCATCCCAGTGGTTGGGGATCTTGGGGGCTTCCCTTGGAATATGAACTTCCTTGTACCAGAGTCTTCTGTTGTAGTGGCATATATGGGAAAAGCTGGTTTTTTAATAATCTCTTTGTGATGCTGCTCCAGAGCACATTTGATCAGGACCAGCTTTGCCTCTCAGTGGGAAGACACAGTTTGATCTGGTAGTGATGTGCAAGCTGCCCTCTCCTCACCCCTTTCCCACCCTGTCAGAGTTCCTGGGTATGTAATTCTGCCGTTAGTGATTCATTCCTTTTTCCTACTGTGTGTTTCCCTTAGAAGGACACACAGAGCATCCAGCAAGTGCTCAGTAAATATTTGGTGGAGTATAATACTCACCAGATCTCTCTAGGACCCTCTCCACCAAAAATGGGAAAGGTTATTACATCCTGGAACTCATCAGTGGACTTACTCCTTCCTAATCTTGATAACTGTTCCCTATTTTTTACTTCTTTCAGAATTTCTCCCAAGTTCATCTAGAGTAAAAGTGTATTAACACAGTCTTCCTCCTATTAGTTTGAATTTTTCCTCAAGAAATACAAACCAATAATCATATATTGAGTGCCTTTCACACGTAAAAATCCATGTGTAAAGCCTCTGAGGGAAGAATAAATGTAAAAGACTACCTATTTTTGTATTCCTCGCCTTGGCCCATAAAAAGAGGTATGAAAAAGACAAGAGGGATCCCTGGGTGTCGCAGCAGTTTAGCGCCTGCCTTTGGCCCAGGGCGCGATCCTGGAGACCCGGGATTGGGTCCCACGTCGGGCTCCTGGTGCATGGAGCCTGCTTCTCCCTCTGCCTGTGTCTCTGCCTCTCTCTCTCTCTGTGTGTGACTATCATAAATAATAAATTTAAAAAAAATTAAAATTAAAAAAAAAAAAGAAAAAGACAAGAATTCTATAATAATTAAATGTGGTGTGCTACCCTGGACCAGGTCCTGTGCTAGAGGGATGAAAAGCTGTACAGGAAATTTCTAGAACTGACAATATTGAAATATTGTCTGTAGATTAAAATCAATGTTAAATTTCCTGTATTTGATAACTGTACTGTGGTTTTGTAAGAAAATATTTTGTTCTTAGGAAATCTACAACAGCAATATATGGCATAAAAGAGGCACGACACCTGCTACATACTCTCAGATGGTTCAGGGAAAAAAATTGTGTGTGCATGTAAATAGTGAGCACAGATATGGGGTTACTATACTTGCATCTTTTCTGTATATTTGAAATTATTTCAGAATAAAATGTTTTTTAAAATATCCAGTTCCACAACTTGAAAACACCAACGCAGCATATACTGCTAGACCATCTGACTGGTTTACCAACAATTCAGCCCATGTCGTGACTCCTTTCCCCTAAGTTATATGAAAGCATCCTACCCACCCACTCCCCCCGTTTTGTTTTGTTTTGTTTTTTGTTTTTTGTTTTACTCATTTTGAGTGAATTTTTGCGTCCAAAAAAATCAGACCCAAGCCAGATTCCTCAAAGGTCTCAGCAACATAATATCACTGTGTGGGGACACTCGCTCACCACTTTCTCATGTGTTCCTTGTTCAGCCTGGCAGCGGTACTTAGACAGAACCTCTGTAATACAGCTTGGTTTTCTCAAGCAAAAAAATATATATCTTTCTGTTTGGAACTGAAAAGTAGCTGAAGGCTGAGGATCACCCCTGATTTTTCGCTTTAGTCAGAAGTTCAGCCAGCTGATTCACGAGAACAATATTGTCTTGTTTTGACATTTCTTAAGGATATCAAGTGGCTGATGGTAACTTTTCTCATTCCTTCAGCATGCAGGGATCTTGTAGACTACACTACTAATGGTTTGCTCTGCGGTGTCCAAAGTTAATCATCACTATTGAGTCTTGAATAGCTTGAAAACACATGTCCTTAGTTTTGTTCCCAAGTCAATGGTTTAATGAATGCCACAGGATAATATTATTAAATCATGGCAATATTTAATGTTTTCTTTGAGAAGGTTAAATATTGTAAATAATAACAATAATAATTCTCGCTTTACCTCCTAAGAATAAAGTAAAACACAAGGACTCCCTGCCTCTGAGACCCCATCCTATAAGTGAGGGCTAGACGTGGTCCGAGAGCTTTGCACGTACACTATCGAGTAGTGTGCTGGGTGCACAGGGATATGCAAGGTGCATCTTGACTGTGTGGTCTAGGGAGGTCCCTGAGAGTGGGCTGGCCCAAAAGACAGGGTAAATGGGACCCAGAGGGGAGCTTTACAATGCAGAAGAAGATAGAGCCAGAACTTGGGAGAGTCGGGGAGAGCTTGGGAGCCGACTAGGGGGCCACATGGCCAGAACAGGCAGAGGCCAGGGGAGTGGGGTGGAAGAGAAAGCACACTCTCTTAGGATGATTCTGAACGCCAAGTTAAGGGTCTCCTTCTATAGGTGATAGGAGGCTGGAGAGGGCTCTAAAGCGGGGAGCAGTGTTGCCAGTGGCATGTCTGAGGAGCTTTTTCTAGCAGCTGTGTGCCAGGGGACCTGGGCTGGGGTCCAGGAGGGAGGCCAGCTGGGAGCGGGTAGCAAAGATCCTCCCGAGCCGCTGTCGGTGGAGATGGGAGGGGAGAGCATGGCAGGTCGACTGCTGGTGCTGGCAGGAGTGGGCGAGAAGGGAAAGCAGAGAGGGCTCTGGGGCCTCAAACCTGTGAGGTGACCCTGGAGAAACACCCGGATGCGCCTCTGGCACTGACAGAGCAGTTGAGCCGTCACCTCCCAGGAAGTGAAACTACCAGGAATCGGGAAGGGGACGGAGACTACAAGACACTGTGATCTGGGACAGAGTATTCCTCAGGCCGTGGGGAGATGGGTGATGGAAACTGAGAGGGCAAGAGGGGGCCTTTACCTGCTGCAGGAACAGCTCGGCCCTGCCCTGTCTGGTACACCTCGCAGTTATCCTGGGAGCCCCAGTGCGGGTTCTGGAAGGCACAGAAGAGGCAAGTGCTAAACCAGTCATTCAGACCGCATCCCTAGCTTGTCACTTTGCCCACGGCTGGCTTCAGGTGTAGATTTGTGGCATCCGTTGGTTAATGATCCTGGGAGGCCTGGTGAAAATAACCCCATGCTTCATCCCGCATGGTCACCTGGCAAGTGAAACACACAGCCCGTCAACAACTCTCTGAGTGTCCCCAGGGAGCCCAGCTTTGCAAGCATGACCTAAGGAAGCCCCAGCAGCACCACCCTCTCTAGCTCCCTACTCCTAGATCAGCCACCGAGTGCTCTGAGAGGGACGGTGGAAATGGTGTTTCTGGACTCAGGAAGAAGGGATTGAAACTTGCAGTTAGGACAAGAAAGGGTATGGGCAGGGCTCCAGGTAAGGCTCCATCTTCTCCTTACCCTGCTCGGACCCCTACTTCCAGCCTTGGAATGCTCTGGAAAAAGCTGCAGTTTCCAGAGCAGGAGACACTGAAGGCCATCAGCTCTGCGGCTCCTGCCTCCCTGGGCTCCCCGCTCTTGCCAGAGCAGCTCACTCATGCTGGTCCTGTTCACATCAGGATTTCATGTTGGATTCCACTTGAACAGAGCTTCCGTTGGGTGTGAGTTGCAGAGGGACCAACCTGGACAGTATTTACACTTAACTCACTAAATTTGTGTGATTCTCGAGTTAGTCAGACAGAGTTCTGGGTGAGAGCAACAGGGAGAAATTTGAAGGGCTTCCAGACCCCATACCCATTGTCAGTATTTAGGTTCAAGAAGGATGACTTCTGGGTAGCAATTTCTCATGTAAAAAAGTATAAAGGACTTTTAAGAAAGAGAGATGGACAGGCGCATGTGCGCGCGCACACACACGCACACACACACAGGAAAAGAGAAGCAAGCCTACCTGCACAAGCACAGCTGGTTGTTCTTTTCCTTGGAGGCCTGGCTCCGAGTAATTCCAATCCCTTTCTCTCACCAGGCCTCTTCCCCACAAAAAATCATGTAAAACTTCTGCTCATCCTTTGTAGTGACACCTTAAATCCCACCTCCACCACCCTAGCTTCCCAGGATCTCCACTTCTCTGAACCCCTGCTGTCTTTGCCTCACCCCACATCGCCCTTCATTGTCTATTCTCTTAGTATTTTCCTTTTCATGTGCTTTATGTAGCTTTGTCTTCCCAACCAGCCCCCGAGCTAGATATTCTCCTGTTACATACACTGTGGGTGCTCAGTTTGTGTTGATGGACTGCCTTTTGACCACAGTAGGCTGCCTAACAGTCAGGAACTGCCTGGTCAGTCTTGAGATCCTGAGGACATTAGTGCCCTCTGAACCGAGAGAGTGCTC